TCTTTTTCTTTTCTTTTTAAAAGAGAGAGAGAGGGAGAGAGAGAGAATTTTTTAATATTTATTTTTTAGTTTTCGGCGGACACAACATCTTTCTTTGTATGTGGTGCTGAGGATCAAACCCCGGCCACATGCATGCCAGACATCCCCAGCCCCCTACAGTTGGTTTCTTTACACCAGAATTACCACCAACAGTGTGTAAGTTGCACTAAGATGTTAAAATGGAAGGTGGCTGAGTTGGGAGGGTCGCCTGAGCTCAGGGATTCTAGATGAGCCTGGGTCACATAGCAAGACTCTGTCTCACAAAATATAATAGATAAATAAATATGTTAAAACAGCTCTGATGTCACCAGCCCATAAATTTTCAGCTCTGTTATAATCCCACGGGACCACTATCATATGTGCAGTTTATTTTTTATTTTACACAAGGTCTCACTAAGTTGCTTAGGACATTGAGTTTGTTACACTTCTGCCTCAGTCTCCTGAGCTGCTGGGATTACAGGTGTGCGCCACTGTGCCCAGTGGATTTCTCTTTTCGCAGATCTCAACCCAGAAGCTCTCTCCTGATCTCCCAACTGAAAGAGGGGCTCTTACCTACAGCCTGTGCCCTGTACTGATCTATTTCTCTCTCTCTCTCTCTCTCTCTCTCTCTCTCTGGTACTGAGAATTGAACCTCAGGAGTGCTCTGCTACTGAGCTACATCACCTCTGTTTTTTTTTTTTTTTTCTTTTGTGTGTGTGTGTGTGTATGTGTGTGTGATAGGGCCTTGCTAAGTTGCAGAGACTGACCTTGAACGTATGCCTCTTGCTCAGTCTTCTGAGTAGCTGGAACTGCATGCATGTGCCATGTGCTACTATATCTGGCTACAAACTTTTTTTTCCCCCCCTGTGGTGCTGGGGGTTGAACCCAGGGATAAGTACAGGGGATTGAATCCAAGGGCCTTGTGCATGTGAGGCAAGCACTCTACCAACTGAGCCATATCCCCATCCCTCCAAACTATCTTATTGTAGGTCACCCTTAAGTTCTTGAAGGGCAGAGGCAGTCACAGCCCCTGATACATTGGAGGCAACTTGGAGGAAGACTGACTAAATTTATTTGGATGGCCAATCATGTAGGTGTATGTGTATTTATTATGTATGTATGTGTATGTACATACAGTTGTACCCTCAGCATTCATAGGGGATTAGTTCCAAGACCTCTGGAGACTCAAAAATCAGTAGACACTCATGTCTCTTGGATAAAATAGCATAGCAGGGTGCAATGGAGTACTCCTCTAATCCTAGCTACTCAAGTAGCTCAGTGATAGAGGGCTTGCTTAGTGTGTGTAAGGCCTGGGTTAAATTCCCAGCACTCCAAGAAAAGAAGAAAAAGGCCAGGCATGTTGGCCCCAGAGGCTCTAGAGGCTGAGACAGAAGGATTGCCAAGTTCAAAGTCAGCTTCAGCAAAAAGTGAGGTGCTAAGCAACTCAGTGAGACCCTGTGTCTAAATAAAATACAAAATAGGGCTGGGGATGTGGCTCAGTAGTCAAATGCCTCTGAGCGGCCTGGCACAGAAGAGAGAACACCAGGCTTCAATCCCTGGTACAAAAAAAAAGAAAAAGAGGATACTCCTATATGCAGATTCTATTTAAAAAACTTTTAATCTTTGGCAAATATTTTGCCACATTTCATCATCCATACACTAACCCTTTCAATGGCCATCTGAGATTCTGTATATGTCAGTGATAATCAAATACCTACCATTCAAATAATTCACACATATTTAATAAATATCTGTTGTATGCCAGTAGTCTGCTTGGACATTTATGCTGTCTGAAGTACTTTATTTCTTTTTTGGCAGTGTTAGGAATTGAACAAAGGGCTAGGGCATGCTAGGCAAGGGCTCTACCACTCAGCTATACCTCCCATCCTGCATGCAGTATTTTACTATCATAAACATAATACCATCATAAATGATAGTATTGCTGTTGAGTGTCCTTGGGGCTCAACATCTGCATCTGCAATTGTTTTTTTTTTTTTTTTTTCAGTACAGGGGATTGAACTCAGGGGCACTCGACCACAGAGCTGCATCCCCAGCCCTATTTTGTATTTTTATTAGAGACAGGGTCTCACTGAGTTGCTTTAGTGCCTTGTTTTTTGCTGAGGCTGGCTTTGAACTTGTGATTTTCCTGCCTCAGCCTCCCCTGCCACTGGGATTACAGGTGTTCACCAAGGACTCCTGCTAAGAAGTGGGATGTCTTAATTGAAGAGGACACTAAATCATTCTCAAATCAGATTTTATCAGTTTACCCTCACACTTGCTGTCTTTTTTCTTTTTCTTTTTCTTTTTTTTTTTTTTTTGAGCCCTGCTCTCTCCTTCACTATTTATTCAGAATCACTGTACAAAAGCACCCTTTCTTGAGGCTGTGACTCTCATCATCTTAACACAGTGACCCCAGGTGCTTTCTGTGACCCTGGCAGAAAAAAAGCAGGAATGCTGAAGGAGGGTCCTGAGACTGAGGGGATGGGGCCCAAAGGCATTCCATTAATTGTTTTCCTTGATGATTTAATGGTTCTTTTTTTCTTTGTTTTTTGCAGTGTTAAATTGTAGAAAAAAACACTGAAAATTGAAAAGCAAATGTGTTCCTGAAGCCAGAATTAGACAGGCAGTCAGTACAGATAGATAACTTAAGTCCGGCAAGATCAAGAAGACCAATTTTGAGTGATTCCAACCAGTTGGAGACTGTCCTATAAGAGAAGAAATTTTAACTCTCTCAGAATGCTTCTTTTACCCTTGTCAAGAACCTCACCCCTTCATCTGTAACCAAGATAACCTGTCCCAAGAATTGCCCCTCTTTACAGGAAGCTTTAAGGTTGTTCATTTGTCTTGGCTCTCTGTCCTGCCCTTTCCCCTGCAGCCCACCTGTTCCCTACCTTTGGGCCACCACACCAAGAATTTCTTGGCCTAGTTCTGGGTCTAGTCAAGGATTCAGAAAGTAGAAAAATAAGAAGAAAGGCAGGAGGACAAAGGAAGCCTAGAACACAATAAAGGGCAGAAATCCTCACTTCATCGGATAACAGTGTTACCTCTGTGTACTGGTGAGGAGTCCTTGCTTCCCCAATGTTGAAGTATAACACCAGAGAAGCACACCCAGGCAAGGTCAGTGTGGAAAGCACAAGTTTATTAAAGGACAGCAGAAAACACTTCTCCCGGAGGAAGAAGGGGGCCCAAGAGATGGAATCCACACTTGCTGTCTTTAACTTCCAAATGAAGTCCCATTACTTTCTCTACTTTCATTCTTTGACCTGGCTTTTGTCTGTTACTACTCTACTGAAATTTAATATCTACCAGATATCACCTAAAATGCCAATTTCAGAGATTGAACTATTTTCTGGCCTTCCCGCTCACCCTGTACTGGGGATCACATTTAGGGCCCCACACAAGCTAGGCACAAACTCCACCACTGAGCCACATCCCTAGCCCTGGCCATATCTTCAGTGAGTTGTTTGTGACACTGAATACCTTGGACTACTCTTCTCTTACTGAAATGTTCCTCCTCTTGGTTAGGTATAGCAGGTCTCTTCCTAGACTCATTTTCCAGCTAAAAAACTAAGGATAGAGAGCTACTAAAGAGGTGCCAAAAGAGGACAAATTTCTCCCCAGGCTTCTTGAAAGGCAGAGGCAGTCACAGGTTTCCCTACTCTCATAGTCTTGAGCTTCTTTTTGAGTGTGATGTTTTGGAATCCTTGTTGTTCGCAAATTCTTCTTAGGCTTAAGAGGGCCTCACAATGAGAATTTTGTCTTGTTCTACTTTCTTTTTTTTTTGGTACCAGGGATTGAACTCAGGGGCACTAGACCACTGAGCCACATTCCCAACCCTATTTTGTAGTTTATTTCGAGACAGGGTCTCACTGAGTTGCTTAGTGCCCCGACCCTACTGAGGTTGGCTTTGAACTCGCAATTCTCCTGTCTCAGCCTCCCAAGCCGCTGGGATCACAGGCGTTTGCCACCGCACCGGCTTTTGTTCTACTTTCTAAGAAAATGTTTTTATTTCAGTTTTTCCAGTGTTGATAATCTAATTTGTCTTGAGGTTCTTGGCTGGAACAGGGTCCTAATGAGGACCCTGTCACTGGGTGACGAACAAGGAACTATAACTGACTGGTTATCATCTCTGAGATTGGGAGGAAAGAGTCCCAGAGCCCTTGCTACAGAATTTCTGCTCAGAGGCTCAGAATGTAGCTTTGGGATCAGGCCAGCCAGAGTGGAATCTTGGGACAGTTTCATCTCTGACCATTAGCTCCCTCATGAGACAGATGTATAAATAGAAGTTGAGATGGGGAGATTGGTGTAGTTCTGTGATACAGTGCTTGCTTAGCATGCAGGAAGCATTGGATTCTACCCCCAGCTCTGCAAAAGCAAAAAGAACAGTTGCTTGCTTAGGGTGAGGACTTAAGATAAATATACATAATGCGGCAGGCTCTTTGCCCGATACCTAGTAGATACCCAGTAAGTGAGCACCCCCAACTCCAGTAGATATGTCCTCAAATTCGGTTTAACATTTATTTTTGGTGTACTTCCTCATTTGCGTCTCCCAACTTTCCAACCCCACTTGGAATTCGCATATGCCAATTTTTCATCATCATTCTATTCAGGAAGAAACTGAGGACAAGAGGATGAGTAACTGGATTCAGAATGGCCGCCAATTCGAGCGGCTTGGTTCTTGGCTCTGCTGGCAGTTGAGCCGGCTTTGAGACTGCCGCTCCCGCAGGCTCCCGCAGGCTCCCGCAGGCTCCCGCAGACCTCGCTCTCTCTTCTGCGCCAGGCCGCTCAGCGCCATCTTTGAGCCTGGCATCCGTGCTCACTTCCGTACTTCATTTTGTTCAAGAGTGGCTGCGCCTGCCCCAAGATGTCCCTTTTGGGAACAGGATATCCAAAACCAACCACACTTGTCGCGCCAGCTGAGAAGAATTACCCTTTTTTTTTTTTCTGCTAGCCGCAGGGAAGTCGCTGTGACCAGTCCAAAAATGGCGCCATCAGTTTCACCTCCCCTGTTTTCCGCTCCCGGAAGCGCGGGGATCGAAGGTCATTCCGACTGCGCCGGCTCGAGAGGGAGGGATCGTTACCACGGCAACGCGCGAATAGTTCGGGCCGCTGCACCCGGCGGGAAGCGGGGAGCCGCGGTGCTGGCGACAGGCGGGGCTGCGAGCGCCGAGGGGCCCGGGCGCCCGGGGCCGCTGCAGGACGAGACCCTGGGCGTGGCGTCGGTGCCCTCGCAATGGAGGGGCGTCCAGGGCATCCGCGGGGAGACGGTGAGGGCGCGGACCCCACGCCGGGCGACGCGGGCGGGAAGGCCGGGGCGGAATGCGACCCCCAGAGTTTCTGACGTCCCACCGTTTTGTTTATATATTTTAATCCTCAAAAACTGACTGGGGGATGCTCCTGGACCAGTCTTTCATTGAAAACAAGAACTTAACAAAACTCCAAGGATCCTACGTTTTGAAGGGTTTTGCGCAAATGACGATGTTGAAGCATTTCAAACTTTTTATTTTCTTTCTTTTTTTTTTCTTTCTTTTCTTCTTCTTCTTCTTTTTTTTTTTTAAAAATACCAAACTGCATGTTAATGTCTAGATAAATTGGTCTTCTAGTTGTTTAATCAAAAGCACACAAAACGGGCTCTCTGTTGAGCTGAGGGCTGGGCGCAGACTTGGACCGCTTGACGCGAGCAGGAGCTGTTCTTGCACCTGGGATCCTCAGCGAAGGAGACGGACCTCTCTTGGATTTTTCGTGGGGCGGTTGCAGAGAATAGAACATACACCATTTATGTAATAAATAAGTTATGTTAGAAGGTGAACAGTGCCATGGACAAAAAACAGCGACTAAGGGACTGCTGGGGAGCGGGAGGGTGGGTTGCAGAATGAGTGACATTGAGCAAAGACTCACAGGAAAGTCAGCCAGTGTATGTACTGGGATGAAGCAGAGCAAGCAGAACAAATGACAAAAGCAAAAGGCCTGAGGTGTTGGTTGATCTGTTTTAGGAAAAAATGGGGCTGGGAGTACTGAGGGAAGGAGAGAGTGGTCCTAGGTGAGGTCAGAGAGGGTAAGTAGGGCCATGGAGATCATTCTAAAGATATATATTTTCTTTTTTCTTAATATTTATTTTTTAGTTGGACACAATACCTCGATTTTATTTTATTTATTTTTATGTGGTGCTGAGGATTGAACCCAGGGCCTTGCATGTGCTAGGCAAGCGCTCTACTGCTGAGCCAAAACCCCAGCCCTGTATATTTTCTTTTTTTAGAATTATTTTTTTAGTTGTAGTTGGAAACAATACCTTTATTTCACTTATTTATTCTTATATGGTGCTGAGGATCCAACCCAGGGTCTTGCATGTGCGAGGCGAGTGCTCTACTGCCAAGCCACAACCCCAGCCCCTATTTTCTTTTTTAAAATCTATTTTTTTAGTTGTAGTTGGACACAATATCTTTATTTATTTATTTATTTATTTTTGGTACCAGGGATTGAACTCAGGGGCTCTCAACCATTGAGTCACATTCCCAGATCTATTTTGTATTTTATTTACAGACAGGGTCTCACTGAGCTGCTTAGCACCTCACTAAATATCTGAGGCTGGCTTTGAACTCGTGATCATCCTGTCTCAGCCTCCCAAGCTGCCGGGATTACAGGCCTGTGTCACCATGTCTGGCTTCTTTCTTTATTTTTTTTGTATGTGGTGCTAAGGATTGAACCTAGGGCTTGCACACACTAGGTGATCACTCTACCACTGAGCCACAACCCCAGCCCAGGAGGTAGATTTTTCATTTGAATGAAAATGAGCTGGTTTGCAGGGTGCTGCATGTTTCCCAGAAGAAAAAAACTTAGATTGTTGAATCTGCAGATAGTGTAGATCCTTACCAATACCAGTAGGGTTTCCGTGAACTTGTCTTCTTGACTGATGCCTAAAGATCTGCAGGTGTCAAGTCAGACTCTGCTCTGGCTTCCAAGCTTTCTACTGTGCCATGCTGGGTAGGAATGGTTCTAGTTAAAAGCAAAGGCCATGGTCATTTTAGTTCAATCTGCCCATCCAATTCATAGGTAAATGTATGATTCATGTACTGACCTTTTCAAAATACTCAAAATAGCTTTTGCTTGCTGATGATTCAGATTTTAGAAGATTCCAGGTTGGGAATCATTTATTCAGTCTAACACCTTTTTTTTTTTTTTCTTCAGATAATGAGATTGAGGCTTGTTAATTTTCTTGTAGATAGAGTGTGTGGTACACACTTGTAATTCAAGCTATTGGGATGACTGAGGCAGGAGGAGTGCAAGTTTGAGGCCAGCCTGGGCAACTTAGCAAAACTTTTGTTTCATAATAAAAAAGCCTGCAAGGTGGCTTAGTGGCACAGCTCTTGTCTAGGATGCATGAGGTCTTGGGTTCAATCCCTGGTATGGCCAAAAAGTTTTAAGTGACCCTGACACTTGGGGTGTAAAGACTTGCCTCTCTACCATCTGTAGCCTGGAAGGGAGCTGGGCAGTAGGGTCACAAGTTTGAGGTCAGTTTCAGGGACCAAGAAAACCTCAAAGGGCTTGGGGCATGGCTCAGGGGTAAAGCACCTGGGTTCCATCCCTAATAGCAAAGAAAAAGAAAGGTTTGCATTTATGAGGGAGATTCCCTTGAGTCACAGCTGTCCTCTCCTGTCCTATTGAAGATTATCATGTTTTACAAATGCTGCAAGCGTCAGAAAAAGTTGTTAGTTGCTTTTTTCCAAATTAAGTTTTTTTTTTTTTTTGTCTATAACAGTGAATTATGTCCAAAATTTAGAAAAAATCTGGATAGGCAAAAAAATAAATAAATAAAAATCACTCCATCCATTTTATTTGTCCTATTTTTGGCCCATCTTCCCGCTACCTTCCCTTTTTGATGGAATTATACTGCTCTTTTTCTTTTTTGAAACTGGGCATTGACCCTGGGGTCTCATGCATGCTAGGCATGCACTTTATTATTATTTTTTTTAAGAGAGAGAGAATTTTTTTATATATATATTTTTAGTTTTAGTTTTCCGCGGACACAACATTTTTGTTTGCATGTGGTGCTGAGGATCGAATCCGGGCCAGGCAAGCGCGCTACCGCTTGAGCCACATCCCCAGCCCTAGCACTTTATTATTGAACTAAATTCCTAGCCTTGTGCATAGTATTTTTTTTTTTTTTTTTGGTACTGGGGATTGAACTCGGGCACTCAACCACTGAGACCCATCTCAGTTCTATTTTGTATTTTATTTAGAGACAGGGTCTCACTGAGTTGCTCAGCACCTTGCCTTTGCTAAAGCTGTCTTTGAACTCACAATCCTCCTGTCTCAGCCTCCTAAGATGCTGTTATCACAGGTGTGTGCCACTGTGTGTGCCTGGCCTTTGTGCATAGTATTTTGTGAATGCATTTTTTCCATTTACTACATCCTGACATTTTATGTGTTTAAAAAATTTTGTGGGGAATTCTGGGGATATAGTTAGTTCAGTGATGGAAGACTTGCCTAGCATGTGGAAAGCCTGGGTTCAAACCCCAATGTTGCAAGAAATAAAAAGTAAAATAGGTTTTTTTTTTTTTTTTGTACCAGGGATTGAATCCAAGGGCCCTTAACTGTCCCAGCCTTTTAAAAAAATTTTATTTCTAAACAGGGTCTCGCTGAATTGCTTAGGACCTCAATAAATTGCTGAGGCTGGCTTTGAACTTGCCTCAGCCTCCCAAGCCTCTGAGATTACAGGTGTGTGCCACCATGTCCAGCCTTAATTTTTACTTATTATCAATTAATTCTGTAATGAGTTGTAACTAAATTTTTGCATGTTTTTTTTAATACTTTTATTTTTAATTTTTTTATTTTTATGTGGTGCCAGGGATCGAACCCATGCCTCATGCATGCTAGGCAAGCATTCTACCCCTGAACCACAACCCCGGCCCTGTTTTTTTTTTAATTTGCTATGTTCCTCTGGAAAAAGTCAAACTTCACTCTTTGGTTGGTTGGTTTATGTAGAAGTGCAATACCAAAACGTACTTCTATGTTTTAGTTATAGGTTTTTTTGTTTTGGTGATACTGGGGATTGAACCCAGCGTACTCTGCCACTGAACTACATCCCCCAGCCCTTTTATTTATTTATTTATTTAATTTTAGTTTGAGGTAGATCTAGTTAAGTTGCCAAGGTTGGTGTCAAATTTGTGATCCTGCCTTAGCCTTCTAAATACCTGGGATTACACGTGTGTACCACCATGACTGACTCAGTAATAAATTTCAAAAAATGTTAATAGTCTGGCTTTTCTTACCCTATCCTGATATGTTCACAGGTGGACAAGTCCTGAGCCTTGGTTTGAGGTGAAATTTGAGGGTGCAGATTCTTACAAGGGGCTTGGGCCTGGGCCAGTCATGTGATGGCTCCTCTGCAAAGTATTAGTCTTTCTTGTGGGATTAAATGAGATTGCTGGTCAGCAAGCAGTTTGAAGGCACAGTGCTGATCTTATGAAGGGGCTTCTGAGTGTCTGAACTGGAGGGCTCCTAACCAATCCCTCACTTTTTCAGTGTGGCTAATGAGGGCAGGCCCTGGAGAGTTCTGGAAAACACACCTGTGTTCAACCTGCAGTGATTCTAGCTTGGCTGATAAGTGAGCGGCCTGGGAAACTGGTTTTATAAAAGCTCCTGAAGTGATTTTAATGTGTAGCAAAAGTTGAGAACTACTAACTTAATGCATCCTACTAGCCAAAGCATGATTGAGATTCTATTGGGGGGCTGGGGATGTGGCTCAAGCGGTAGCGCGCTCGGCCTGGCATGCGTACGGCCTGGGTTCGATCCTCAGCACCACATACAAACAAAGATGTTGTGTCCGCTGAGAACTAAAAAATAAATATTAAAAAAAAAAATCTCTCTCTCTCACTCTCTTTAAAAAAAAGAGAAAAAAGAAGGAAAGTTTAAAAAAAAAAAAGATTCTGTTGGATTGTGTGGTGCCTTAAAAAAAAAATGGAGGCCAAGACAGGAGGATTTTGAGTTCAAGGCCAGCCTCAGCAACTGTGAAGCTCAAAGCAACTCATTGAGACCCTGTTTCAAAATAAAAAATTAAAAGGACTAGGGGTGTAGCTTAATGGTAAAGCATACTTGGGTTCAATCCCTGGTTCTAAAAAAAAAAAAAGTTATGTGGTAAAATACACATAACACTTTTTAAAATTTTTTTATTTTTATTTTTTTTTTAAAGAGAGAGAGAGAGAATTTTTTTTAAATATTTTATTTTTTAGTTTTCAGCGGACACAACAACTTTGTTTGTGGTGCTGAGGATCGAACCCGGGCTGCACGCACATCAGGCGAGCGTGCTACCGCTTGAGCCACATCCCCAGTCCCTTTATTTTTATTTTTAATATTTTTGGTTGTAAATGGACACAATACTGTTATTTATTTATTTTTATGTGGTGTGGAGGATTGAACCCAGTTGCCTCACACATGCTAGGTAAGTGCTCTACCACTGAGCCACAACCCCAGCCCTAAAATTTTCTATTCCTTTTTTTTTTTTTGCTACTGGGAATTGAACTCTTGTGTTTTATTTACAGACAGGGTCTTACTGAGTTGCTTAGCGCCTCACCTTTGCTGAGACTAACTTTGAACTTGAGATCTTCCTGCCTCAGCTTCCCAAGCTGATGGGTGTGCGCCACCATGCCCATGCCAAATTTTTTATTCTTATTTTTTTGAGATGGGATTCTAGCTATGTTGTGTAGGCTGGCTCCAAACTCCTGGACTCAAGTGATCCTCCCACCTCAGCTTCCTGAGTAGTCTGGACTACAGGTGCTGCTAAGCCTGGCTTTTTTTTTTTTTTAATAAAAATATTTTTTAGTTGTAGTTGACACAATACCTTTATTTTACTTATTTAATATTTTATGTGGTGCTGAGGATCGAACCCAGGGCCTCGCACGTGCTAGGCAAGTGCTCTACCATTGAGCTGCAACCCCAGCCCTTAAGCCTGGCTATTTTATTTATTTATTTATTTTAAAATATTTATTTTTTTAGTTCTTCTTCTTTTTTTTTTTTTTTTTTGGGTGGACACAATATCTTTATTTTATTTTTATGTGGTGCTGAGAATCGAACCCATTGCCTCACACATGCCAGGCGAGTGCTCTACCACTTGAGCCACATCCCCAGCCCCTGGCTATTTTAATCATTTAAGTTTATTGTTGATTTTCTTGGTACTAGGGATTGAACCCAGGGCTGCTTTACCACTGAGTCACATCTCCAGCCCTTTTTAATTTTGAAATAGGGTCTCACCAAGTTGCTTAGGTCCTTGCTGAGTTGTTGAGGCTAGCTTTGAACTTGTGGTCCTCCTGCCTTAATCTCCTGAGCCACTGGGATTACAGGTGTGTGCCACTGAGCCCGACCGTCTTCATCAGTTTTAAGTATTCTCTTAAGGGGTCAAGGGCCTTCAGGATGCAGCTATTCCCACTTTGTCCCTCCAGGGCTTTTCTTCCTCATTGGGGTGTATCTTGGACTGACAGGTGGTCTCCCAGGGCTAACTCAACTCCCTGCAGCGGGCAGTGGGTCTCTTCTGTTACCCAGAGGCTCCCAGAAAGTGGTGAACTGAAACACTTCCTCCCCGGGGGCAGGCCTGGGCTGCTCAGGAATGGCTCTGGGGCTTGGTTAAGGAGGCCCTCCCTCATCCTGGCTTCCTGCAGCTTTGGCCTGTTTGGGTTCTGCAGTGTCTGGCACCCCCTGCTGGAGTCTGTCTATTTTTAAGATGGGGTTTGTGGCTTCAGGGAGAATTAAATCCTGGGTTCTCAACATTTTTTAAAAAAATATTTTGTTTTTTTAGTTGTAGTTGGACACAATACCTTTATTTTATTTTTATGTGGCGCTGAGGATCGAACCCAGGGCCCTGCACATGCTAGGTGAGCGCTCTACCGCTGAGCTACAATCCCAGCTCCCGTTCTCAACATTTTTGAGTGTCTACAGATTTTATTGTATTTTGAGACAGGGTCTTGCTGAGTTGCTGAGGCTGGCCTTGAACTTGTGATCCTTCTGCCTCAGTCTTTTGAGGATCTGGGATTACAAGTGTGTATACCAGAGCTGCTGTGCTTGGCTAGACTGTTTGTTTTTTTTTTCCCTGCGGGGAGCAGTTACCAAAGATTGAACTCAGAGGCACTCAACCACTGAGCCCATCCCCAGCCCTATTTTGTATTTTATTTAGAGACAGGGTCTCACTGAGGTGGTTAGAGCCTCCCAGTTGCTAAGGCTGGACTTGTGATCCTCCTGCCTCAGCCTCCTCTGAGCACAGTCCTTATCTACCTGAGGTTTTTGTTTGCTGGTGCTGGAATCCAGGGCCTTTCACATCAGGCAGGCACTCCGCCTCAGGAAGGCGCTCTGCGGCTGAGCCACATGCATCCCTTTTCTACCTAAGACTTTGCTCTGGCCCCTTTGCCCCAGCCCAGAACTCTTCCCCGCAGCTCCGCCTGGTAGCTCAGCTTGGCAGCTCCTGCTCCTTCACATCTCAGTGCAAGCACAGCGCCCAAAGCCTCCTGCTCCCACCAACCTGTTCAGACAGCTTCCCCCACTATCCCCCAGATCTCAGTACCTCTGTGTGCACTGAGCTCTATTTGCTTTTGGGGACGTTTCCATGTTGTTACTTGTCCTTCCTACTCCTGTGAAAGTGCCTGGGACACAGGGTCTTGCATATTGTCTCCTGCTCTGTGCTGAGTACCCAGATGGGGCCAGGCTCTAGATGCGCAGTGAGTGGGTTTGTTTTTTTTTTTTTAATTCTTTTTTTGTAGTTGGAAATGGACAGCATAGCTTTTTTATTTTTATTTTTATTCATTTTATATGGGAGATTGAACTCAGGGGCCTTTGACCACTGAGCCACATCCCCAGCCCTATTTTGTAATTTTTATTTAGAAACAGGGTCTCAGTGAGTTGCCTCACTGTTGCTAAGGCTGGCTTTGAACTTGAGATCCTCCTGCCTCAGCCTCCCCAGCCGTTGGGATTACTGGCATGCACCACTGTGCCTGGCTGCATACCTTTATTTTATTTGTATCTGGTGCTAAGGATCGAACCTTAGCACCTCACACATGCTCAGCAAGTGTTTTACCACCCAGTCACAACCCCAGCCCGTGTTCTGTGTGCTGATTCATTCTAAGGGCTGAGGATACTGAAACTGATCAGACTGGTCTTCTGGTGGTAGGCCCGGCTGACCAGGAGACACGGAGCAGTGTGGAGGGAGAGGAGGGCATCCCTGCTGAGTGAGCTGATTCTAAGGAGAGCTGCCGGCTTGGCCAGCCCCCTTCCTTCAGTAAGATGGGCCTGGCCTGCCTCTGAGCCCACTGAGCCTGTGTGGGGGCCCTGTGAGCAGAGCCTCCGTGGACGACATGATTGCAGCAGTTACTACCCCCAGACTCCATGTGTGTAGAGGAGAGGGAGGCTGGCCTCTGCTCTGATGTGCTATCTGTTCCCAGCCAAATGGCGACAAGGAAGAGGAGACAGGTGGCAGGATGGAGAGCATGGCCACAGGGAGTCCCGCCTGCCTTTCATCAACTAGCTCACCTCAGATATACCTGCTTTCCTTGGTCACTTGGGCGTAAGGCATCCTTCAGGAGGGCCCTTGCCAGTGGAGAGAGCAAGCCTGTGTCAGTGGGGTGACCTGAGGTGCTTGCCACAGCTGCTGCTGGCGCTGAAATGATGTGGTTCTCGAAGCTTTTGGCATCTTCAGAAAGGGCACTCCTGCCTCTGAATGAAAGTCCTGGGACAGGCTCCCACTGGCCAGCTTGGGTCACGTGGCCACCCCTGGCCAATCACTGGCCAGGGAAGTGCTCTGATTAGCTGCCTGAAGGTCATGTATTTCAGGGAACATAGGGTAGGGGGTCATCTCCAACGCTAGCCACACAGTGGGCTCCCCCTAAGAAAGGGACTAGTTACAAGAGGAGGGGGATATACTGGGCACAAAAGTGATTAGAGGCCCGGGACCTGGAGAGGCAAGGGCGCTGGGTAGTGATGCTCATTTGCTCTGTGCCTTAGAAGGGTTGCCAGACGGCCAGCATTGCCACTGCCGACGCATCCGTCCAGGCCCGGAAGCAGGCAGATGCCCAGGTGCAGACGGAGGCCCCCGTGCCAGTGACTGTGCTGCCCATGTCCCAGCATGACACCTCACGGCTGGCAGCGTTTCTCCGGAGGGTGGAGGCCATGGTCATCCGAGAACTAAACAAGAACTGGCAGAGCCATGCCTTTGATGGCTTCGAGGTGAACTGGACTGAACCACAGCAGACGGTAGGGCTGGTGGGCCTGGGCTGTGCCCCTGCATGTAGTCCCCTCAGCGGGTTTTAGGTCTTGAGTAGTGGCACCCAGTAGCAATAGTACTGGTAGCAGCCCGTGTTCACCAAGCGCTTTCTCCAGGTGCTACAATTTTGTTTTTTGCTACTGGGGATTGAGCCCTGGGTGCTCTGCCAAGTGCTACAACCCCAGCTTTTTTAGGTTTTATTTTGAGATAGGGTCTCGCGAAGTTACTGAGGGCGTAGCTAAATTGCTGAGGCTGACCTGGAACTTGTGGTGCTCCTGCCTCAGTCTCCCAAATTGCTGGGATTACAGGCGTGTGCCACCATATCCAGCCTGAACCAAGTTTTTTTTAAGACTAAATCATTGAGCCTTTGATGATACCCTTGGAATAGGTGCCATCAGCCTCTTTCCACTTTCTGGCTGGGGAAATGGACACCAGAGGGCAGCCACTTTTCAGGATGAACCGACCTGTCAGTTTCATTCCCTAGGACCTCCTCCTTCCCTCCCCTGCATCCTCCCCTGACCCCCTTCCTGTTCTCCACTGGCCTCCCTTCTTCCCTTTCTTTTTGTTTTTTTGGATGGTTGCTTAGCTGATTTTAATCACGTGACATAAAGCCCCTAAACTTGATATTGTTATGCAAAATATGTAGATTAATATATATTTTTTTGTACTGAGGGCTGAACCCAGGGATACTCCACCACTCAGCCACCACCTCAGCCCTATATTTTATTCTGGGACAGGCTAGAATGTGTAGCAAAAGTTGGGAACTACTAACTACATGTTCCCCTCCTGAGCTGTTGGGATTACAGCTGTGTGCCGCTGCGCCCAGCTTGAATACTATTTTATTTATTTATTTTAAACTGTTTGGATTTTTAAAAATATTTTTTTGTTGTTGTTGTAGTTGGATACAATACCTTTATTTTATTTGTTTTATTTTTATGTGGTGCTGAGGATCTAACCCAATGCCTCACACATGCTAGGCAAGCGCTTACCATTGAGCCACAACCCTAGCCCAAATACTTTCTGTTTTAAATATAAAATAAGCAAGACATGTGAAAACAGGTAAATTTCCATTAAATAAATGAAACTTTAAAAGAGAAAAAATTTTTTAAAAAAAATATTTATTTATTTTTTAGTTCTTGGCGGACACAACATCTTTGTATGTGGTGCTGAGGATCAAACCTGGGCCGCACGCATGCCAGGCGAGCGCACTACCGCTTGAGCCACATCTCCAGCCCCAAAAGAGAAAATTTTTGAGCTGGGGCTGTGGCTCAGCGGTAGCGCACTTGCCTGGCATGTGTGAGGCACTAGGTTCGATTCTCAGTACCACATAAAAATAAATAAATTAATTAAATAGAGGTCTAGCAACAATTAAAATAATATTTAAAAAATAAAGAGAGAAAAATTTTCTTTCCATGTCATTTGAAGAAGGAAAATTATCATTTTAAACAATATTCAAGTTCATTAAACAAAAAAAGTATTATAAAATGATTAACTTTCATCAGCTTCAAGGTTTATGTTGCTGCCAAATTTTGAATATAACTGAACTTTCAAATCTGCTAACACGCATTGAATTGAATCCAATCCGGATTCCAAGGCATCAGTTTCTTCTTGCAAATTTTTCTTTGCTTCCTCTAAATTCCTGTGATTCTTTTTGAGAATTGCTAATGAAAACATCCCCAATTTGATAAGGTATCATTAAGTGGTCATTCTCTGCACACATAATGTCCTCACAGGAATCTTCTAAATTTTCCAGTTATTTCTTCTGTTAGCTCTGTGATTCTGCTCATATTCTGTGTAATCTGTTTATCTTTTGCTGATCTTCAAAAATAATATTGGCATTTGTAGCTGCCTTCTTCATTGTGGCCGCCATCTTGAAACCACACCATCCAGCCCCTTCTTCCCTTTCTTAAAACTATCTAATCTATTTTTCTTTTTTTTTGTGTGTGTGCCAGGGATTGAACTCAGGGGCACTCAACCACCGAGCCACATCCCCAGCCCTATTTTGTATTTTATTTAGAGACAGGGTCTCACTGAGGTGCTTAGTGTCTTGCCATTGCTGAGGCTGGCTTTGAACTCTCGATCCTCCTGCTTCAGCCTCCGGAGCCACTGGGATTATAGGTGTGCGTCACCATGCCCAACTAAAAGTTTATCTAATTTGTTAAGTCTAAACACCTTATTTAGATATTTCTGTGTGTGTGAGGAAGGAGGCAGTCTCAAGTATGCTAAATCTGAGCTATCACTGAGCTGCACCCTAGTTATCTAATTTTTATTTACATTGTTTTTTGTTGTGCTAGGAACCAAACCCAGGGTCTCCCACATGGTAGGCAAATCTCTACCACTTATATCCCCAGCCTGATGTCTAATTTTTTGTTTATTCTTTTTTTTGTGGTGATGGGGATTGAACCCAGGGCCTATGCATGTGAGGCAAGCACTCTGCCACTTGAGCTGTGTCCCCAGCCCCTAATTTTTAATTATAATTCTTTTCTGACGTTGAAAGCAATGCCTGTCATCATGGCCAACTCAGTCGTTGCAGAAATGCGGAACGTGCTGGGTGCAGACAGTGCAAGGTGGCACTGGCTCACAGACCCCTGGAGTTTCTTCTGTGGTACAGTCATGTAGCTTTTCTCTTGTCATCAAGTACCTTTGAAATGTGAGAGCACTTTCTGTTTTGTGTGTGACCCTTTGTTGTGGTTGGGTATGAGATGTGATTTGGTAGGAATGTCTGGAGGAGGAGGGCTGCAGCCTGGTCAGCAGATTAGTCCTTCGATGGACTGATAAGGTGAATGGGTCACTGGTGGTAACTACAGGCAGGCGGGGCACGTCTTTGCAGACTGTGTCCTCCTTGCCTTCCGCCATGACATCCCGCCTCATGTCAGGTCCAGAGCATTGAAGTTGGCCAACCAGGGACTGGACCTCTGAAACTGTGATCCCAAAATAAGCTTTTCCTCTCTAAGTTGCTGTTGTCAGTTATTTTGGTCACATTGACGAAGCGTACACACCCTTCCGGTTCACCAGCGCAGTCCTTTTTTTTTTTTTTTAATTTTTTTAGTTGTAGATGGACATAATATCTTGATTTGTATTTGTTTACTTTTATGTGGTGCTGAGGATCAGACCCAGGGCTCACATGTGTGAGGCAGGCACTCCACCACTGAGCCCAGCTCCAGCCCACCAGAGCGGTTCTTGTTGGGGACTTTTGACTTTCTGTCCCACTGTCAGACACACCATCCTATATCTGGGTCTGCTGTTGGTGCACTGTCTAGGCAGCAGCTCCACATCTAGAAATTTGTGTTCCAGGGCTAGGCTGTGGCTCAGTGGTAGAGCACTTGCCTCGAATACATGAGATGTTGGGTTCGATTCTCAGCACCGCAAATAAAGAAAAAATAAAGATTCATCAACACTAAAATAAATTTTTTTAAAATTTGTGTTCCAGTGACTTGTGACCAGGTGGGAGGTTGGGCTGCACCATTTGAACAACTATGGGGTGTGCCAGTTTCCTGATGGCCCCCCAGTGTCGTAGCATTCCCTAACGTGGGGCAGGGGAATGCCTTTAAACCTGGCCATGATCTGGCAAAACTACAGTGAGTCTCTTCCTCTTCTGACTTTTTCTGTTCTTGAGCCAGTTCTTGTTTATTCCCAAGGTGGGTTGGTGTTATGACTGTTGTTGGGGCTGGAACCAGGGCCTTTGTGCATGCTGGGCAAGCCTGCAGCCCTTCTTTTTCCTCCCTTTCTCCTTCCCCTCTCTCTCTTTCTCTCTCTTGCCCAGGGGTGCTTAACCACTGAGCCACATTCCCAGCCCTTCTAATTAATTAATTAATTTTTAGCTGTAGGTGGACACAATGTCTTTATTTTTATTTATTTATTTTTATGTGGTGCTGAGGATTGAACCCAGTGCCTCACCTGCTCTAGGTGAGTGCTCTGCCGCTGAACCACAACCCCAGCCCCCTTTTTATTTTTTGAGACAGGGTCTCACTCAATTGCTTAGGGCCTTGCTAAGTTGCTGAGGCTGGCCTGGAACTTGTGATCCTCCTGCCTCAGCCTCCCAAGTCACTGGGGTTATAGGTGTGCACCACTGTGCCAGACCTGTGTACACATTGTTTGCAGTTGGCATCTTTTGTCCCCCTAGGGTCTGTACCCAGGAGTAGAATTTCCAGGATGCATGGCCTTTGGGTGACTCCGCTGTTTTCTGTAGCAGCCACACCACGGCTCTAGCAGTGCATGGGGTGCTCGCTGTAGGGTTTCTTATAGACTTTGTATTTTACACAGGGTAGTGTCCATACCTGGGACCAGGAGGGTGAGAGATGGGAAACTTTTCAGTGGTATTTGTTGGCAATACCTTTGTGACAATCTCCTTTGCTGCTCCAGCATGATGGGCTAAGAAACAAGGGCCTGAGAGAGAGAGAGAGAGAGAGAGAGAGAACACACTTTGAGGCCAGCCTCAGCAATTTAATAAGGCGCTAAAAAAGCTTGGCAAACATCTGTCTTGGAATGAAAAATAAATAGGATTGGGGATGTAACTCAGTGGTAAAGCGCCCCTAAGTTTAATCCCCAGTACCAAAAAATTAAAAAACAACAACAACAACAACAACAACAAAAAACCCAATACACAGAACAGAACTGACGATTTGAGCCCTGTTTAGGTGTCTCACTCAGTGACGCGGAGCATGCTCCCGTGGTGTGCAGCCGTCCACACCTACCGGCTCCAGGGCTGGAGCGCAGGGCCCTGTGAGTGTGGCCACAGCTCTGTCCTAGAACCAGGGTCAGCCTTGGTTCTCAGGCTTGCCTTCCAGGTTCTGAAGGATCCTGTTAGGAGAGGTCCCAGGGGAGGTTTCTGTGTTTCTTGAGGCCTGGGAAGTGGACTTGAATAACTTTTAGGGCTTTGGGCTACCCAAACACAGCTGTGATTTTCATTGGTGGCCATGAGACCACGTGCTGGAAGGCTTGGGACTTAGGGTTGGCTTTTCTCTGCAGGTGTCCTGTCTGCACACCCTGGGCTACCCCCCAGCACAAGGGCAGGGTCTGCATGTGACCAGTGTTTCCTGGAATGCCACTGGGTCAGTGCTGGCCTGTGCCTATGGTCGGTGAGTGGCAGCTGAGGCAGGCAGGAGGCCATGAGAGGCCCCAAGCTCAGCCATTCTGGGGTCTCCTTGAGACTGCCCACCCAGGGCTAGCATTGGGTTGGAGGAAAAAGCGGGAGGTGGGGAGCAACGGAGAGCCCATGCCTCAGGCAGTGGTCGTCTGTTCTCACCAGCTGTTTCTCTGGCCTGGTGTCCGCTGTCCAAGGGCCCCATCCTGCCGCTGCACAGGCCTCTCTTCAGTGCCTGGGGACCCTTCCCTGGGTGTCTGGGAGGAACCTGTGCCACTCGGGTACCCAGAGTAGGCTGCCTGGGTGTGGAGGGACACAGGCGAATTTGTTTGGGGTTAGAGTGTGGGGAGGTGAAGGCCGTGACAGGAGCCCTGGGAGCCACTGAGGCACGTCCCTCTGCAGGCTGGATGATGGGGACTGGAGCACTCTCAAGTCCTACGTGTGTGCCTGGAACCTGGACCGGCGAGGCCTGAACCCCCGGCAGCCGTCGGCAGTGGTGGAGGTGCCCAGTGCCGTCCTGAGCCTGGCCTTCCACCCCACCCAGCCCTCCCACCTTGCAGGTGAGCCCCGCCCATGGCCAACCGCCTCCCCCTGCCGGGCTCCGCCTTGGGCCTGGCTGGGGCCTGGCTGGGCCACCTGGGCTGCCTGACCTGGGTGTAGTCTGGAGTCCGCTGGGCCCTCTGGGGAGACGTGGTATGGAACCTGGCGGAAGGGGCATCTCTGGGACAGGAGACACGGCAGCTGTGCAGAGGCAGGATTGGAGGCCCAAAGAGGTTGGCACCCTGGGCAGCTCTCAGCTGTGACAGGGGCCAGTGTGTGCTGCTGAGGGTGGGTGATGCTGGGGGGTGGATGGCCAGGTCAGGGCCTCAGCTTGCTGTGGGGCATGCTCCCTGGGGTACAGTGAGGGGGGACTGAGGATGTCCCCTTTGAGGATTTTCAGGCCGGTAAGCTGGGCTCTGGGGAGGGCCAAGTTGACGGGCAGCCATGGTCCCCACAGGAGGGCTGTATAGTGGCGAGGTGCTGGTGTGGGACCTGAGCCGTTCTGAGGACCCACTGCTCTGGCGCACAGGCCTGACAGATGACTCCCACACGGACCCGGTGTGCCAGGTCAGGGTGCGGGAGGTTGCTGGGCAGGGGGGCAGCGGCTTCCCACCTTCCCTGGGAGGCAGTGGACCTTGAGCAGAGAAGGGAGGTCATAGGGAGTTGGCAGTTGGACAGCTGCCCTGGGTGGTCCCAGAAGCACTTCACCAGTGGGAGTGCCCTGGGGCATCGTGCTGTTCCCAGCCAGCCTTCTAGGCAGGTGCTACACCTGAGTGGCCCAGCGGGCGTTCGGCCTGGGAGGAGCTCGGAACCCTCCACGGCTGCCCCCC